TAATGAGGACTGCAAAGTTTATTTAGCTCAGTCACAACACATTACTTGTTATCTTGTTTTACATTTTAAAGTGCAAGCGATGTCTTTTGAAAGAGGCATTTTTAACATTTCAGTTGTCAAACATTTAAGGGAAATTGATAGCATCGAGAAATATCAGAGACTGCAAAAGAGAAGCAAGACACACTTGTTATGCGTTTTATGTAATCAGGCAGTCCTTAAATATGGTTGCATTGTAATATAAGTGTAATAAGATGTCATATTTAATGTAGGAAGACTGTCACATTCTGATAATGAAAATCGCAGGGTGACAGATGATCACATCTTCTAGTGTTTCAGACAATCATAGCGCATGAGAGAACAAAAAAGATATAATGGGTGGTGCAGAATAAATTGCTCTCTTAGTATTTTTAAGATTTCTCCCCTATTATCCGTTTGATTAAAACATTCTTTTTTACCGAAAGAGAGCGCTTGAAATTCTCTACACAATCGTATGTGACTAAACCCTGAAACTACCTTAAATATGTTTGAAAAAAAGATAAAAAATAAAGGCATACAAAAAGCTGTAAAAAGTAACGGGTTGTACATAATGAATGGCCGCGCTTTGTATTCAATGTTTTCATCACTTCGCCCTATTAAAAGGTAAAATATACCAAAAGATGCAGCGTGAAAAGCTCGACAATTTACATAAGATCGCTTATTTTATAGTTTTACTTTTTGTTTTTGAAATGGACAAAATTTTGAGCTATCAAGTTTCGACCATGCGAAAATGATATATTTTTTTGGTACAAGATGAATTCGTGTTTTCTTATTTCTTCTTCTTATTGCCTGATATGTTCTATTAAAAAACGAAAAAAAATACACCATACGATGCAGCATGAAAAGGTCTACCATTTACAAAGAACAAATTATAAAAAGAGGAAATAAGAAAAAACGAATTCAATGTGTACCAAAAACATATACCATTTTCGCATGGTCGAAATTTGATAGCTCAAAATTTTGCCCATTTCGAAAACAAAAAGTGCAACTATAGAATAGGCGGTCTTGTGCAAATTGTAGAGCTTTTCACGCCGCATCTTTTGGTATATTTTGTTTTTCTAATAGGGCGAAGTAAGGGATGAAAAAATGGGATGCAAAGCGTGTCTATTTATTATGTATAACCCGTTACTTTTTACAGCTTTTTGTATGTCTTTATTTTTTATTCTTTTCCAAACATATCTAAAATAGTTTTAGGGTCTAGTCATATATGATTTTGTAGAGAATTTCAGGCGCTATCTTTTGATAAAAAAGAATGCTTTAATCAAACGAATAATAGAGGAGAAATCTTAAAAATACTAAGAGAACAATTTATTCTGCGCCACCCGTTATTTGTTTTGTCTGTCACGATTCTCCATTTTCTGCATATGTGTCACCGCTTTCAAAGATCGCACATAACATATTTTGATTCCTGATGTAGTTCAGCTTGAATGACATAATTAAAAATGGGATATGGGTCATTTCTAAATACATCAGGGGTCGCAGCGGCCTAGTAGGCAAAATCAGGAATCAGGACAGGAATTTTGAAGAAAAAAATCAGGATTTTCGCAGATAAATCAGGATTTCCAAAATATATGTACTATTCTTTGAAAATACACCTTATTTTGCAACAGGAATTACGAAATATCAATTGGAATTTATTTGCCGCGCTATCCCCGTTCTGTTAGCGATCTTTTTCCTTTTCTGTCGGATGCACAGCTGAAAGAGACTCAGAAAAACTATATAAAACCGACCCGATTGATACTGGACAGAGCCGAACTACTGAAAAGTTCACCAAACCCGTATAGATAGGTATTTCACTGGTTAAAGCTGAAGAGTTCATTCTATAGCTCCGTTTTTGCTATAAAATCACGGATTTACATGTTTCTTATTCAGAATATGCAAGGTGGTAGTCTCTTGAAAAGTTGGGACATTTATTGAGGAAGCGCCATTGCTGAGAGCAAAAAATTAAAATTCGGTGTTTAAACCTGCTTTAGAGGTTCCTCGAAACTACTGTTAAACGATGTTAGTTATACTTCTATTCAATCTTAATGAACTATGTATCAGTTCGATTTCACTGTACGACACACGCTACGTAGTATAAATTTTATTGGATTAAACTGGCATCGTATTGGAGCAGAATAGACTTTGAGTTCAAATGGAGTTTGATTTGCTATGCAGATTAATTGAACTCTTTAAAAACTTTGGTGTGTCGTTTAGGTTTGTCTCGAACGTTCTCTCAAAATATTTTTTTTAATGGAAAAACTATTCTGAGATAATTTTTGGAACAACTCAGTGCAGTATCAATGGGATGAAACTGTAGAACTCACGCAGGTATGTGAACAAACATAATCCACAACAAGAGAAATATGAGACAGTCTAATAGTCAGAATTTTCGATGCTCTCAGTCGACAAAGCGCATTTCTCTCACCATTCTTTGTCATTTGTTCGATTTATGAAGTAAGGGGTATCATGGCCCATCCCCACATTCATATATTGAAAGAGTATGGTTCGTCAGATTACCAAATCTTTTTATCAAAGGACTCTCCATTCGAAACATGACTCTATCACATGACGAAGTCCGTCAATACTAGAAATCTCGATGTTCCGAGAATTATCGCAATGGGATTGAACACACCGTAGTGTTATTGACGTACGCACACGACTCCTTGAGGCGCAAAAGAAGGGCCTGAGTACTGTTTGACTCTCTTCGTCTAGAGGTTGAATACTTCCGTGCAATAATCTTGCCGTTATCTTGCGATCTTTCGTTTTTTCTCCTTCTCCTCGGAGTGTGGAGGAACGCGGGGGAATGCAATTTCACCGTGAACTCACCAGTTTATAGAAAACTACACTAAATTTGACCATTTACTGTTCAGATCGTGACTGTTACATTTTAGATCTGTTTCCTCAAAACGGTTGACTTTTTCAATCGACTCGAGTTCTGATTAGATTGTGTCAGAAATATGAGTATTTAAAGACTGATAGAGATGATCAAAAACTAGTTGTCTTGAGTTTTTAGAGTGTTACACCGAGGCTCATAAGTTGCAAGGAAATAATTCCTCTCAATATTACTGTGAAAGCCGTGAAATTCCCCTTTGACGAACGACAAAAACACTTTAGGGGATTATCAGTGCTTGTAAGGAGATCGCTACTCATTTCTATGTTCGATATACCTAGTCCTTCATAATAATCGACGAGCGATGGGAAAAAATCAGGAAAATCAGGAAAAATAGCTGAAATCAGGACGAATCAGGACGCTCTCAAAAAAATCAGGAAAAAATCAGGAAAGTAGTGCCGCTAGGAGGCCTGAAATACATTTATCTATTCTTTTATTCAAATAAAGACATGAAGACGTGATTCATTATTCTTTTAATTGAAACAAATGTTTGCGCCTTTATATTAAACATTTAATTGTGTTCGTTTCAATTTAAATAGAACGTGTCTATCGGAATAGATGTTACTTGTTGTCGAGGATTCCCATGTTAAACTCTTAAAATCGCAAACAAATGCAACAAATACGCAGAGTCAAATTTCGGAATCGAGCAAGCATGATAGAAAATTTTACTAGATAATTTCCTTATGATTTTCCATAAGCAAGAACTCATTAATTGTTGATGCTTATATAATAAGAAAAATAGCTCTGTAAGACGTCAAACAGCGAAACCGAGTGTAACAAACATTCCTTTCAATTTTCTACCATACTATATGTTCAAGTAGCATACAGAAACAAAATCGAAAAACTAACACCAATTATAGACCACATATTCTCATTATTAGAATATGATTATCGAATGTTTGATAATGAATATCCCTTCGTGCAATTTGCCTACATCTTCTGATTTTGTTAGTCTTTAGATATCATAGCTTTTTCGAAGAATGCATCCTTATCAAATATTTTAGATTTATAAGACTGAAGTTAACATATCCAACTATTCAAACACTAAGTTCAGATGTTCAGATATTGAACTATTCGCGAAAATACGTTCACGGCATCTCTCTCGATGCAGTTGCCACAGAAACACATTCACACAATACCACTATCAGAATATTCGACTAACTGAATTTAGTAATTGAGTAGTTTAATATCTGAATATCAAATAAAGTCTTCAGTAGTTGAATTCAACTTTCAGATTTGACACTATTGATATGGTACTACTTTTAAAATGGATACTATAGAAAAAGCTTCACTTGTATCGAGTGAATGAAATAAGCAATCATAAAATGCTATAAAAAGACTCAATAGAGATTGTTTTTCATGAAGTTGCAGATTCTGCTGCCACTAGTGATTAGTTAGAACATTATTATTAAAGGAATGCACAGAGCGGACTCGTAAAAAAACATTGTTTTTCATTCAAAAGTAAATTTTCACAGAAAGATAAATTCTGTGTCTCATTCATCTAGTGTTCCATATAAATAAAAATTTAAACAACAGATTTTACCAGTTTCGTTTCTGTGATTTTCAGACT